TTTACCACATAACTAGTCAGTAATGTGGCTCTCAATGTTACCTCGTAACTGGTCTGTAATGTGCCTCTCAATGTTACCGCATAACTAGTCAGTAATGTGGCTCTCAATGTTACCTCGTAACTGGTCTGTAATGTGCCTCTCAATGTTACCGCATAACTAGTCAGTAATGTGGCTCTCAATGTTAGCTCGTAACTGGTCTGTAATGTGCCTCTCAATGTTGCCGTATAACTAGTCAGTAATGTGCCTCTCAATGTTACCGCATAACTAGTCAGTAATGTGGCTCTCAATGTTACCTCGTAACTGGTCTGTTATGTGCCTCTCAATGTTTGCCATATAACTAGTCAGCAATTTGGCTCTCAATGTTACCGCATAACTAGTCAGTAATGTGGCTCTCAATGTTACTTCGTAACTGGTCTGTAATGTGCCTCTCAATGTTGCCGTATAACTAGTCAGCAATTTGGCTCTCAATGTTACCGCATAACTAGTCAGTAATGTGGATCTCAATGTAACCGCGAAAATAGTCAGTAATGTGGCTCTCAATTTTACCGCATTACTAGTCAGTAATGTGGCTCTGAATATTACCATAGTAAATAGTCCGTAAAGTAGCTCTCAATGTTATCATTGTTGGCGTCACCAAAGGAGGAACTCAACAAACTGGCCATGTATGTTTTTAGCTCCTGCAGGAGAACTGTATATATATAAGCCAAGGAAAACCTTACTAGAGTTTGAATACTTTCAACTTGTGCATAGGCAGAAGGAGAATGGACATCTGGAGAACACGAGCCTCCATGGACATGATGACCACCTTAATGGCCATCGAAACAAACCACAAGTATTTATTACATAAATTGCCAGTAATGTAAAAAATAATGGAGCTTAATCATTATGATAAAGAAATTTTGAACACAAACGTGTAATAAATATGTCGATATCCATACACACAAATATACACACCATATGTAGTACATGTAATTAGGTAAATGCTTACAATAATGATGTAAGAAATTACACGATTAATTTTAAAAACACTTCATTGCATATATTAAATTAAAACTAAGGCTTACGAAGTTATATGCTATTAGAAGTGTTTTTGGCCACAACCAGAATAACCATGTCTAACTTGATCGAATCAGATTTAAACTTATATAAAAACATCACTCAACACAAGTCTTGAAATTATCCAACAATTGTAAATATGATTTATTATCTTAACCCTCTTAATAGCAGGCCCAATCCCACTTTTGTTTAACTTCGATAGATCTATATCTAGCTTTCATTTCTATAACTCTAGGGACAACTTTACCCAGTGGCTTCACAATGTTTTATTACATACCTCAGGTTTCCCATTATTCAGATAAAGGTCTGCTACGTGGGTAGGAAGAATGTTAATTAACAAAAACCTATTTACTGTCTTGATGTCTTTCACTCTTTCTCTCTCACTAGCCAGACATCGTTTCATCAAAAAGTCCAGGCGACAAAGGTACTCTACCTGAAGAATTAATGATAAGTACTATTTCAGTGTAAAGGTTATATTGAATACTGTACTGTACCTAAAGAAATCACATTAAAAACTGCTTAACTATAGAAGCCATACTGAAGAAGATTTGTTAAGTGACAAAGGTAGTCCACTTAAATAAATACCAACAAAAAGTGTTTGTCATCTGGTTAGCCCTTTTAGCAGTCCCTTTTAAACGTGTAAGATCCTGCTATCGCTACGTCCGAGAAAGTCCTAGTAATGGAGAGCCCAACGTGGCTCATTACCCTTTTGATGCCTGTAAGTGCTCTAGTGGCTCTCGATGTTACCGCTGTTGGTGGTGTCACCCAAGGAGGAAGTCAAGAAACTGACCAGATATGTTTTTACCCCCTGCAGAAGCACTGTATATATAAGCCAAGAAAAACCTTTCTAGAGTTTGGATATTTTCAACGTGTGGGTAGGCAGAAGCAGAATGACCACCTGGAAGACACGAGCCACCATGGAAATCCAGACAAACCACTTCCACCATCACCAGTAAGGGGTTTCACTGTGAACGAGGCAGTATGGATGAGCAGGACCAGCTTCCCCTAGGATGAGAAGGACCACCTATGCATTAGTCACTTCTGAAATTCCATTGGTTTTGCTTGTCTTCATGGCAATTATTCTCATTTATTATGCAAGACATTATATTTTTCTTTGCTAAAGAGTTGTGGTGTGTAATTGTACGTAGGAACAAAGGATAGTGGTCCACAAATCCATTGAAATACTTTCATTCTTGTTGCCTTTGTGTAGTTGTTGTCCTGTAGCAGATTGTTTCTATTTTGCTTGTATGTTGCTGCAAGTTCTCCATTTGTGTCAAAATAGGTCGTTGATTGCAATGTCTTTTGCTGGTCAAGTGGGTAATATCTAGAGGTTACAGCCTTTGTCTGTTGTAGGAGAACAACCAGTTATCTGGTAATCATCTCATCTCTGGCTGAAACTAAGGCGTGTTTTTAACACATGTTTAGTCAGAATAGATTTACAGAGATTTCTGTAAAGATATTTTTCTCAAGAGAAGAAAGCTGTCAATCTATTAACCAATCCAATTGATTGCTAAACGTCCACCCAAGTAAACACATTGTTGTTCTCTTTTTACTTTGTCTTTTAGACAATGATTTTGTTACACTTTACATCACAAGTGTCTAGACTATTTATTTTCAAAAAATTAAACTCAGTTATTTAGTTTACTTGAGCATATAAACACATACATATAATTCTGTGTAACAGTGGTTGATAATCACTAGAAACATAGACCTATATTAAACAAAGAACCGGAAACTCGCTATAAGTCTTCATCGATAACCACAAGAAACCTAAACCTATACTAAACGAAAAACTGGAAACTCTATAAGTCATGGTCTCTAGTTTCTTGTGGTTATCAACCAAGAGTTATAGCGAGTTTCCAGTTCTTCGTTTAATATAGGTCTAGTTTCTTGTGGTTATCGACTAAGACTTATAGCGAGTTTCTGGTTCTTCATTTAATATAGGTCTAGTTTCTTGTGGTTTTTGGTTCTTTATTTAATATAGGTCTAGGTTTCTTGTGGTTGTTGACCAAGACTTATAGTGAGTTTCCGATTTTTCATTTAATATAGGTCCAGGTTTCTTGTGGTTGTTGACCAAGACTTATAGTGAGTTTCTGGTTCTTCGTTTAACATAGAAGTGCGAGTTTTCGGTTTTTCATTTAATATAGGTCCAGGTTTCTTGTGGTTATCGACAAAGACTTATAGTAAGTTTCCGGTTCTTTATTTAATATAGGTCTAGGTTTCTTGTGGTTGTTGACCAAGACTTATAGTGAGTTTCCGATTTTTCACTTAATATAGGTCCAGGTTTCTTGTGGTTGTTGACCAAGACTTATAGTGAGTTTCTAAGTCTTACGCCAGTTGTCCCTCTGGGTTCTTTAATTATATTAACCAGAGTAATGCAGCATGGTCTGTCCTGATGGTAAACCTAGCCCCATAGAGGTAAGGATGGAAATATGTCAGACTCTTTACTATAGCAAGGATTTCCCTCCGTGTTACACAGTAGTTCCTCCCCAGTCTACTCAGGACCCTACTGAAGTAGGCCACCACATGTTCGTTTTCACCCACTTTCTGACACAACACTCCTCCAATTCCGACATTACTAGCATCACAATCCAGAATGTACGGCAGCGAGGGATTTGGAAGCTTTAAAAGTGGAGCTGACCCCAATTTTTCTTTCAATATCTTAAAAACAAGAAACTGTCCATTCCAACTTCTGTCCTTTTTTTGTCAAATCATGTAGTGAAGCAGCTATAGTTGCAAAGTCCTTCACAAACTTCCGGTAATAGGTACAGTCCCAAGTAACTTCTACACTCTCCCACTTTGTCTGGTGTTGGCCAGTTATGCACTGATTTTACCTTGTCAGGATCATTTCGCACACCATGATCACTTACAATGTGGCCCAAGTAAAGCACCTCTTTCTGGAACAAGTGGCGTTTCTTGGGATGGAGTTTGAGGTTTGCTGCTTTCAAACGCTTGAACTCTAGCCAGGACATTTCCTCATCAATCGTTGTTGCAAACACAATGACATCATCCAGGTACACTATGGCTATCCTCCATTGTAGGCCTTCCAGTATTCTTTCCATCAGCCTCTCAAATGTTGCTGGAGCATTTCAAAGATCGAATGGCATCACACAGTATTACCAGAGACCTTGGCCATAACCAAATGCAGTCTTAGGTTTATCTGCTTCAGCCATTTTCACTTGATGGAGACCCGACATTAAGTCCAGAGTTGAAAACCACCTGCCTCCACTTAGGACATCAAGAGTATCACCAATTCTTGGCCGTGGGTATGAGTCCTTTTCCGTTATACTGTTAAGAGCCCTGAAATCCACACAGCAATGTTGGGTCCCATCCTTCTTCTGGACTAACACGACGTGAGCTGACCAGGGACTATCTGATTTCTCGACTATCCCTTCTTTAATTAGGCCATCAATGACCTTCTCTGTCTCTTGTAACTTTGTCGGAGCTATTATCCTTGGACAGATCTTTATTGGACGGTGATTGCCTGTGTTTATTTTGTGCTCCACAAGGTCTGTGCAGCCCAGGTCATGATCTCCTTTTGAAAAGACGTCTGTATAAATCGCCCAACAATGCCCCTTCTTTAAGTGTCTGTTCACATTTAGAGAAATTAGCCACTGTTATGGGTACTACTTGATGACCTGCCACAAGTGGCTTTCTAATCTTCACGTCTGCTGGCCTGGATGGGTCTTCCACTGCTTCCACAAGCATCGAGCTTCCTTGGGGATGTTCTTTTATTCTACCCCAAATTATCTTCTCTGACGTAGGGG